GTTCAAAATTTGGAAAGGAGTAAAACAAGGCTGTATATTGTCACCTTGCTTATCTAACTTGCTTATCTCACTCCAGTACGCTTGCCTGAAAAATCCTATGGACAGAGGAGCCTGGTAGGCTACAGTCCATGGGGTCACAAAGAGTCAGACATGACTGAGCAACTTTTTCTTTCTTCTTATCTAACTTATATGCAGAGTACATCATGCAAAATGCTGAAATGGATGAATCACAAGCTGGAATCAATATCTCCAGGACAAATATCAACAGCCTCAGATTAGCAGATGATACCACTCTAATGGAAGAAAATGAAGAGGAATTAAAGAGCCTCTTGATGAGGCTGAAAAAGGAAAGTGAAAAAGCTGGCTTAAAATTCAATGTTCAAAAAACTATAAGATCATGGCATCTGGTCCCATCACTTCATGGCAAATATAAGGGGGAAAAGTAAAATCAGTGACAGATTTTATTTTCTTGGACTCCAAAATCACTGCTGATGGTAACTGCAGCCATGAAATTAAAAGACACTTGCTCCTTGGAAGGAAAGCTATGATAAACCTAGACAGTGTATTAAAAAGCAAAGCACTTTGCCAACAAATGTCCATATAGTCAAAGCTATAGTTTTTCTAGTAGTCATGTATGGATGTGAGAGTTGGACCATAAAGAAGGCTGAGCACCAAAGAATTGATGCTTTCAAATTGTGGTGCTGAAGAAGACTCTTGAGAGCTCCTTGGACTGCAAGGAGATCAAACCAGTCAATCCAAAAGAAAACCAACCTTGAATATTCACTGGAAGGACTGACGCTGAAGCTGAAAAGCCAGCTGTTGTGAAAAGCCAACTTATTGGAAAAGGCTCTGATGCTGGGAAAGATTGAAGGGTGTGAAGGGGGTAGCAGAGGATGAGATGGTTAGATAGAATCACCGAATCAATGGACATGAGTTTGAGCAAACCTGGCATGCTACACAGTCCATGGGGTTGCAAAGAGTCAGACATGACTTATGGACTGAACAACCTCAAAATCAGTTCTGAAATGAACAGCAGGTGCCCTGTTCATTGAAAACAGAGGCTGTGAACAGGCGTCTAGGAGATGCTGGTATTGTGGTAAAGGAGAATTAATGACAACACAACAGAAAGTGATATGACAAAGTCAGAATGTGTCAGAAGTTGTGCCCTCAAAGGCTTATACCTGGAGTGGCAAACAGAATTATCTAAACTATTTACAACTTTGGCAGATCTCTTCGTGTTGGATTCTGATCTCCTTCAGTAGCCTGGTGGCATAGTGGAGAGAGTTCATTGGGGAAGACTGGGCTTTAGCACCTCCAAATATTAATAAAAGAGAATAAATGGAATAAGCTATTCAGGTGTAACTGTGGACCTTCATCATACTGTGAGCCAGAGGGGACAATATTAATGCTTATTGATGAGAGCTTCATGTTGCTAACTTGAATGCCTATTTTACAGACAGTATATTTATAGTATGACATTTATAGTATCTCCTGATGTAATAAGCTTTATGAGTCATGTATTTCTTCCAAGTTCTGTTTGCACAACAAACTTCTGGCTGTATTTGAGATGTGGTGGCCAACTGAAGCAGGCACTGTTGATGCCTAATATCACCTAGACTCACCTTGGAGCTCACCTGCAGCTGTGCGTGGTAAGCAGCTTCCAGTATGGTTGCAGCTTCCCACTTCGAATGCTGGCTTCCCCACCTGAGGGCTGTCTGAAGCATCAGGCGAATCTGCTGAACCATGCACAGGAGCAACTCAAAGGATATGACAGTTAATGCCTCAGAAACAACTCCTGACAATGGGGGAAGGAAGAATGGTGGATGACTGCCCCAGCCTCCAGCCCTTGCTGGAACAATTCTGAGATGACCTGTACAGTTCTTCAGAGGGTAATCAGAACAATTGAGCTCTAATCATGCACTGTGCTAATCCGCTCAATAATGACTCCTTTCTGGACTTCCCATGGTGGCCCAGTGGCTCAGACTCTACTTGCCCATGTAGGGGACATGGGTTTGATCCCTGATGCAAGAAGATTCAATTCGGACAAACACCCCTTGTGAGAAGAGTAGGAACCTCTAAGGAGAGTGTTTTATGTGAACCATCCACCTCAGGAACCATACATTGCACTCTCTGACTCCTTGTCCACATTTCAGCACACAGACTTCTAGCCCACATTCAGGAGGCATTTTGACCAGAAGAGAAAACGAGACCTGTGGGTGCTGCTATCCATTAATTTGAATTACGAAGACTCCTGATCCAGGATGAAATGAAAGCTTTGCTGCGTGCACCCTGCCTGATATTTGCCTTAATTTTCAGGTATGTTTTGTCTCTAGCTGGACCAAGCATTTAGTCCCACTCATAGAGAGGTCCACTGGTTGCTTACACCACTTACCTACGCCATCTCCCATGGCTCCTAGATGAGCCCGAAGCCAGCTCCAGTAGCTTAACTGGCCCCATGGGTGTTGCTGTCCATGGTTCTGATAGAACGAGTATGCCTCTGCATTGACACCTGTTTTGCCGTCTGTGGTGCTGCCTAACAGTTCTTTTTTTATGCTCAGGAAGATGCTGCACATTTAAAGAGCAGATTTTTGAGACACAGACTAAAATTCAACTATAAACATGAGATTTTGGTTCTTGTTGATGTACTATAGGGGCTTCGCAGGTGGTGCTGTCGAATGAAGGAGACGTTAAAGACGCAGGTTTGATCCCTGGGTCGGGAAGATCCCCTGGTGGGGGCCACAGCAACCCACTCCAGCACTGTTGCCTTGGGAATCCCATGGGCAGAGGAGCCTATAGGGCTACAGTCCATAGGGCTGCAAAGAGGCGGACACGACCGAAGTGATTCCACACAATGTGCTACAGGATTTAGGACTCTGGCCTGTGTGTCCCCATGCATGCTGAAGGGTCAATATTTTCTTGTCCCATATTCTCAGATCAGGTTTTAGGATTTAGCACAGCTGATGGAAAAGAGCAGAACTAAATAAAGAGAAACTAGGGCTGTAGCTTGCAGGCTATTAATCACACCAGGGGAGCCACTATTCCTCTGGCAATCCCTGGCTTCGAACTGTCCTCTTTTTGACTTCCCGTGTCCTTTCTAGCAGAAAGTCCTGTGGAGTCTGTCTTCTAAACAGCTCTTAGATTAGGCTGCTTCATCACCTCCACCAACACTTCCATGACCGTGATGACCATCACACTACCATCGCCACCCCCGCTCCCCTGCTGTACTTACCACCACTTCTTGTTGGAATCATCCCTCTAGGATAAAAACTTCCAAGTGGAATAACTAAGTGGAAGTATAGGTATGTTGTTTAAGGATTTGATAGCTGTACCAAGAAGCATTTCCACCAACCTCATAAAAGAGGGCCAGAGCCACTTCTAGGTGGCAAAAGCGCTACCAGCAATACAGTTCAATTAAAAATCAACCAAAAGGAATACTGCTGCAACTGCGCGCTTCAGTCATGTCCAACTCTGCGCGATCCCATAGACAGCAGCCCACCAGGCTCCCCCGTCCCTGGGATTCTCCAAGCAAGAACAGTGGAGTGGATTGCCATCTCCTTCTCCAATGCATGAAAGTGAAAAGGGAAAGTGAAGCCGCTCAGTCGTGGCCGACTCTTAGTGACCCCATGGACTGCAGCCTACCAGGCTCCTCCTCCCATGGGATTTTCCAGGTAAGAGTAGTAGAGTGGGTCGCCACTGCCTTCTCCGAAAGAAATACAAGTTGGCCACAAAGTTGATTCAGATTTTCCATGTTACTGAAAAACCCAAATGAACTTTTTGGCCAACTCAGTACACTGAGAAATTAAACAGGGAGTTCTCTGGTGATCTAGTGGTTAGGATTCCACACTTTCACTGCACTGGACTGGATGCAATCCCTAATCAGGAAACTGAGATCCTGCAAGCTGCATGGTACAGCCAAAAGTTTTTTAAAAATCTTTTTTAAAATGCTAATGCTGGATTTCCATGGTGACACAGTGGATGGGAATCCGCCTGCCAGTGCAGGGGATGCAGGTTCAATCCCTGGTCAGGGAAGAATCCACATACCTGGGAGCAGCTATCCCATGTGCCACAACTACTGAGGCCCCACTCTTAAGAGTGGGTCTGCAGTAACTACTGATGCCCCCATACTGTCCAGAGCCTGCACTCAACAACAAGAGAAGTCACTGCTCACCGCAACTAGAGAAAGCCCTCACAAAGCAGCAAAGCAACGAAGGCCCAGCACGGCCAAAAATAAAATAAATATTAATTTTAAAAAAGATTTTAAGAAAATGCTAATGCTTAAATAGAGCACTTAACACATACCATAGCTGAGGCAAGGGTTTGCAGTGCTTCAAAACAAACCTTTGAGGTAGGTTCTGCTTTACAGATGGAATAATGAGACCCAGGTATGTCAAGACACTAGCTCAAGTTCAGATAAGACGCTCAGAGGTCAGATAAAGCTTTCTGAGACTACACAGCAAGCTAGCGGCAGAGGAAGGACAGGAACCGATGTTTGTCTCCCCTTCTCCTGCCAAGGAGATTCTCCCCTTTCCTGCACCCTTGGAGAACTGCCAGGGGTCCCTGAGAAAGCAGAGATGGGGAAGTGCGAAAGGGATGCCTCCAAGGGAGCAGGCAGCGGGAGAGGGCTGGGAAAAGGGGCTTCCGGGGCTGCCGGGTCGCCATAGCGAGTGTGATGCAATGACGCCCATCGCTGCGTCAAAGGGCGGCTCCGGGGATGCGGGCACTGCGGCAGAGCTGGTCCCCACCGCCCGCGCCCACCTCGCCCCTGCAGCCTGCCGCGGCTAAGCCAGCAGGCAATCGCTGCTGCTAACCTTCCTCCGGCATCAGGACCACCGCCTGGGACGTTCAGCGACCCCTGAAAACCTCTCTCTGCCACAGGTGACCCCTGACAACCACGCCCAGGTACCAGCCGTCCCAGACAACTGCTCCAAGCCATCGGTAACCCCTGACAACCGCCACCAGCCACCCCCACCCCCACCCCCACCCTGGTCCCCGGGCGCACCATGAAGTCGACGGTGGGCTTGCGTCGTGGTGGGTCTGGCGGCCGTGGAGGTGGCGGCTGGGGCGGAGGGCGCGGGGGCGGAGGCGGAGCGGGCAAGGGAGCAGGAGGCGACGGCGGCGGCCCGGGAGGCAAGGGCGGCTTCGGGGCGCGGACGCGCGGCTTTGGTGGTGGCCGGGGCCGGGGGCGCGGTGGCGGCGGAGGAGACGGCCGGGGGGACCGAGGAGGCGGCGGGCAGCTGCGCGGCGTGACCAAGAGCAAGAACCGCCGCAGGAAGAGCGTCTTGACGGTGTCGGTGGAGCCGCACCGGCACGAGGGCGTCTTCATCTACCGCGGGGCGGAGGACGCGCTGGTCACGCTGAACATGGTACCGGGCCAGTCGGTGTACGGCGAGCGGCGGGTCACGGTGACCGAGGGTGGCGAGAAGCTGGAATACCGCACGTGGAACCCCTTCCGCTCCAAGCTGGCCGCGGCCATCCTGGGCGGGGTCGACCAGATTCACATCAAGCCCAAGTCCAAAGTGCTGTACCTGGGTGCCGCCTCGGGGACCACTGTGTCCCACGTCTCCGACATCATCGGCCCTGACGGCCTGGTCTACGCGGTCGAGTTCTCCCACCGCGCCGGCCGCGATCTTGTCAACGTGGCCAAGAAGCGAACCAACATCATCCCGGTCCTCGAAGATGCGCGGCACCCGCTCAAGTACCGCATGCTTATCGGCATGGTGGACGTGATCTTCGCCGACGTGGCGCAGCCGGACCAGTCCCGCATCGTGGCTCTGAACGCCCACACCTTCCTGCGCAACGGGGGCCACTTCCTCATCTCCATCAAGGCCAATTGCATTGACTCCACCGCGTCAGCCGAGGCGGTGTTCGCCTCTGAGGTGAGGAAGTTGCAGCAGGAGAATTTAAAGCCTCAAGAGCAGCTGACTCTGGAGCCCTACGAAAGGGACCACGCTGTGGTGGTCGGGGTCTATCGGCCCCTTCCTAAGAGCGGCGGCAAGTAGCCACCCAGCTCGGGCGGTCCCTGAGATGTGCCCAAGACTGTACTGTGCTCCGTGTTACTGTATATTTTCTTCGTGCACTGTTTTTCTATTAAATAACATAAAGAAACAGTACCCAGGTGTATCAGTGAGGCCACACTGAGTTATCCCCACATCTCCAAATCCCCCAAACCCTAAAATAGCTAAGATACCTGGTGAAAGGGGTCCATCAAGGAACAACAGCTTGGGGACTGTGCTTACTCCAGCCACTCAAAATCCTGACTGTTCAGGGCCCCTCCTCACATGTATTTCCTCATCACAGGAGCTGGGGAAATGAGCTTATAAAGTTATCTTTGGAAGAGGGGTGGAGTTGGGGGGAGCACTTCCTACACATTGACCACATCATGTGACCAAGCCTGACTCCAGGGAGTGACACTGGGTATTGGGACTGGGACTAACACACCTCATCTGTCTGACTCCAAGCCAGAGTTCTAATCATAATAAATAGTGAATACTTTCCCTCTTCAGGCTCACTGTTAAAGAATCCGCCTGCCAATGCAGGAGACGTGGGTTCAGTCCCTGAGTCTGGAACATCCCCTGGAGAAGGAAATGGCCGTCCAGTTCAGTATTCTTGCTTGGGAAATCCCATGGACAGAGGAGCCTGGTAGGCTACAGTCCATAGGGTTACAAAAGAGTCGGATATTACTAAGCAACTAAACAACAACAACTTTCCTCTTCAAATAAGACCTTTTGCATTTGCTGTTATGTGTAATGGGGCTTCTTAGGTGGCTCAGTGGTAAAGAATCTGCCTGCCAATGCAGGAGACCTGGGTTCAATCCCTTGGTCGGGAAGATCCCCTGGAGAAGGGAATGGCAACCCACATCAGTATTCTTGGATTCCAGTAATCCTGGAAAATTTCATAGACAGAGGAGCATAGCAGACTACAGTCCATGGGCTGGCAAGGAGTTGGACATAACTGAGTGACTGAGCACACAACATGTAGTGAGAATGGCAGCCCCAAGATGGCTTTGTTACCATTACCTTTTTATACAAGAGGCAACAGAGCTTCTGAAGGTAAACTGGTTGCTCAAGTTTGCAAAGCCAGATGGATCTCAATTGCCATCTTTGGAGCTCTTTATCCATTGCTATTTCTTGTACACCAGTAGGATCTTACCTTGTCCCCACAGGGCCCATGCTAAAGAGATCACACAAGTCCCAACACAAAGACACGCATCAGGACTCTTTTGATTTCTTTGTTCTTTCTCTCCCTCCTGATGATACCCTTTACTTTTTTTTGGCCACGCCATGTGGCTTATGGGAATCTTAGTTCCGAGGCTAGGGACTGAACCTGGGCCCTTGGCAGTGAGAGTGTGGAGTCCTAACCACTGAACCACCAGGGAATTCCCCCTTTTCTTAGATTTCAAAATAGTAATACAGGGTATGGAGGTAGGCTGTGAGTCCACCTAACAAAGTATTCCCAATGCAAGGCATAACACATTCAAAGTGGCCAAGGGTCTGAGAAATAACCAGGAAAATGACTCTCGGAAAGTACCTGTCTCTGAGAGGCATTTCCTGCAGACCTGAAGTTCAGTACATCAATTCTGGCTCTCCACATCAGCCCAAAGGGAGCAGGAGAGTGAACAATCCCAGGAGAGCTGTGAATGTTCCAAATCATGCTTTTAAAAGCCCTTTTACTTATTCATTCACTCATCCATTCAAGAACTCCCCACTGCCGATTGCCAAGGTCCTGGACATTTCATCCAAGAATGACTGGTCCCTAAAGCATCATTTAGAAAGCGGGTCCACCTTCCTAAAGGTGTGTTCACACAGAGACTATGGGTAGTCTGCGTTTTCTGAGGACACACTTCCTTCACACAGGAAAAAAATAAATCAGATTTTTAAATGGCAGCCACCCCTCTGCTCCTCCCCTCCACTTCCCTATCTCACACACACACACACACACACACACACACACATACAGTACAATGCAGGGGGAGAGCTACCGTTCAGATTTGTTGGCCAGACTGACTCAGGAAGAAGAGGGTGAATACAGTAAACGTCTGCAGAACCTCAAACCAGGCATTTCCATAAACAATGTGAACTCTTCATTAAAACCTTGCAAAGCCAGGATCATTTCTATTTAACAGATGAGGAAACTGCAATTCAGAGAGATGACATGACTTGCTTAAGGTCCTCCAGTAAGACTCACAGCCAGAAACCAAACCCACAGGAATCTGACTCCAAAATCACTGGCCTTTCCACTGAGGTCTGTGCTGCTTCCTCTACTTTGAAAAGCCCTTTCTACAGTCCTAAGCTAATGGATCCATGGCTGAGATGAAACCTGGAGGCTGAAAAAAATCAGGGAAAGAAAAAAAGAGGACTTCCTTGCTGGTCCAGTGGGTTAAGACTCTATGCTTCTGCCACAGGGGGCACAAGTTCAATCCTTAGTCAGGGAACCCCACATGCTGGGTAGAGTGGCCAAAAAAAAAGAGAGAGAAAACCCTCAGGCTGAGAATGGACTCCCAGGAAACAGGATGATTACTTCCAGAATCTTGAGGGGTACAGTCCTTCCTCAGAATCAGCTCAGCCTCGATAAGGAGTTTTAGAGCCTCCGTATAGTGTTTCTGTCCTTCCAGATTGAGGACAGGGCAGGGGAACCTTGGCCTCTTTCCTTGGTGTGAGCATTCCCACATATACACAAACAATTTATAGTTCATGTGTGAAGCTGCTTGACATGGGACCATCAGTGGAGAAATGGCATTTTTAAAAAAAATCCTCATAAAGAATGTCTCTGAGCCGCTTTTGGGCAAATGGGATGAGACAGTAAGTCCCAGGAGAAATATAGGAACAAGGGCTAAGGGAATGTAGGGAGGGAAGCTGAAGCCTGGTTTTGGAGGATAATGGCAAGAAGGAAGTATGGGACTGTAACTCCCGTGGCCGGAGGTTCAGGACACAGGTAGCACCTGACTTGCTTGGGTCCCCAGAAGGCATTAAATTTGGGGTGCTTAGGAGTCTTAAGACTGTTGAGGCTGTATAACAAAATACCATGGTCTGCATGGCTTCAATAGACATGTACCTTCTCCCAGTTCTGGAGGCTGGAAGCCCAGGGTCAAGGTGCCAGCAGGGTTGGTTTCTGGTGAAGCATCTCTCCGTGGCTTTTCAAGGGCTGCCTTCTCCCTGGGTCCTCACATGGTCTCTTCTGTGAGTGCGCAAGGGAGATGAGAGAGATAGGGGAGGAGGGTGGGATCTCTAGTCTCTTCCTCTTTGTAGGAGCACTCCAGCCCCATCAAATTACAGCTCCACCCTATGACCTCCTGGAACCCTAGTTACCTCCATAAAGTCCCCATCTCCAAATACAGCCATATTTGAGGGTTAGGGCTTCAATGTTTTAATTTGGGGAAACACAATTCGGCCCATAACGCTAGGGACTGGATGGGAACTTTCTGTCAAAATGCCTGTCTTATTGGCTTCTAGGAAATGATTGTGAAAAGCAATGCACAACTGAAGTACCTGCACATTATCCCTTCCTCCCATCTTTCCTCCTGTTGTCAGTGTAAGATAACCAAGAATTAACAGTTAACATAAAGGCTATGGGTTGGAATGGTGCTGGTGGGTGGGTGGGGTGGGGTGGGGGTGGTGGGGAGGGAAATTAGTTGAGCTTCTAAGAGGGATTGCTTCAAGCTGGAAGCTGGGTAGAATCTTCTGCTAGTTTCAGAGAATCAGGAGTGACAAGAGCCACGGCTGAGCCCAGCCCAGCACAGGCAGTGAGGCTGAAGGCTGATGCTCAAAGGCCAGGTGAGATGGACCCTGACTCAAATAGTGTCAGCAGAAACCAGTGGAAAGAACCCTTAGACCTCAACCTTCCACACACCTTCACTATGATGTCCGTCAGCTTCCTCCATCCTGTTGCCTCTGGGGACGAGGGGAGGAAGAATGAGGAGGGAGAAGAAAACCTTTGGGACTGTTTTAAGCCAGAAGAAACCAATTTCTTTTCAAGTGGCAGTTTCCCTCCCAGCTGCAAACCCTTGACCAAGTAAGATGCTTTAACCCCATCTGAGCTGCAGTGAATACATTTGAATTCTACTACACTTGTATTTATCAACCATTTAAGATATCTCAGGCATAGAGATAAAGCACTTATTTGATTGCAAAGTGTTGTTTTTAAATTAATCACAAGAACAAACATACCAGAAAATACTGAAATGGAAATGTTCAGATTAATCTTGGCTGTAAAATGAATACTGGTGTCAGCACCATTCGAAACGTCTGTGTTGCTGGAGTGATAGAGCGTGTAAGAGCCCCTGACCGGTGACCTACCCCCTTTTCTTCCCACCCCTGGTTCTGCCCCCACACCCTGAAGGAATGCACACATATGTCTGTAAATAGACTCCCAGCCCTCAAATCCAAGATTTGATCCTGCCCCTCAAACAGCCTCCTTTAAGCCCCTTGGGCTGGACTTGCAAACTGGGAGGATGATACCCTCAGGAGGACTGGCCTGGGGAAGACTTGTCCCCAATGCATGATCTAGAAGGTGGGGGCGTGGGCTCCTGGGGGCATGGCGCTCAGCCACTATGGACACCTTGCCCTGTTGGCCAAGGTGCAGACAGAGGAAGGCCAGAGTGCAGCCCTCAATATGTGGGGCTCTGGACTGGGGCCCTGATTACTCAGATCTGAGAGCAGCCCCTCCACCAAATTGAATCTGTGTTCCTCCTTAAGGAGGCAAGTCTAACTCTTTCTTCTTAGTAGTCTTTCCTGGCTCTTGGGCTCACAGGAAATTCCTCTTGATTCACATTCTGATGGAGACAACATTTACTGAGCACGTGGTATGTTCCAGGTACTTCTAGACACTTTGTTTCACTTAATCCTCATAGCACCCCTCCGGGAGGCAAGGGTTATCATTCCCACATCACAGATGAGGAAGTTGAGGGTCAGGAAAGCGACAGGAATCACCCAAGGCTCGACAGAGCTGGAGAATAGGAGATCTGGGAATACATATAGGAATACAATAGGAGATCTGGGAATAGGAGTGCTGGAGAATACAGTTGTGAAGAACTGTATTCTTTCTCTATGTCAGTGAAATTAAAACCAGACGCTCTAGGGGAAAGAAGGCCTGGCATCTGTTTTCAGTAAGTCCCCAGCTGATTCTAATGTGTATCCAGGGCTGACACGACTATTTTATCCCATACCATTCTTGCTGTCGATTGGGAAAGGCAGAATTAGGACAGCACTTTGAATCACTGGAAGATGACAGCTGAGCTTTTCTGCGGGGTCTCCATGACAGCCCAGGAGACCCCTTGAGATTCCTAGGAGGAGACGGGTTGGAGTCTGTGGATAAAGTTACTGGTGTTCTTGCCTCTTTAGTCCCTGATTGAGGACTGCCTGCTAATCTCCCAGCTGAGCTGGGAGAGGGAGCTGAGCTGCCAGGTGTGGGAGGAGTTCAAAAGGCAAGGAGTCAAAAATGAGAGACTTTGGTCTTTAATCACTTCTGTGATGGAATGGGCACTTGTGGTAAAGAACCTGCCTGCCAATGCTGGAGATGTGAGAGATATGGATTTGGGAAGATTCCCCTTGGAGGAGGACATGGCAACCCACTCCAGTATTCTTACCTAGAGGGTCACGGTCCACAGGGTTGTAAAGAGTCAGAAACAACTGAAGTGACTTCACACGCAGTGTGATGGAATAAGCAAGCAGCTAAAATTCGAGAAAAGTGCCAGCTCCCCTGTTCCACATTCCCCCATGGAAAGGCACCCCAGCTGAGAGTCAGGGGCATCAGAGCTACATGGGGATGTCTTACTGCTGAAGGCGTCCTGGAACCAAAGGCTCCAGCATTTTATGGATCCTGACACCGCTGGTGAGGGGACGAGGGGGAAAGTCTGGGAGTGGAAAACTTTTCAAGATTCTCCCCTTCGCTCATAAGGAAGCAGAGGTCCTCAGATAGAAACCTAAAAGGGACTTACCTGGTGGTCCAGTGGTTAAGACCAGCACTTCCAGTGCAGGGGGCAAGGGTTCAACCCCTGGTCGGGGAACTATAAGATCCCACATGCCACTCACATTTAACAAAAAACAAAAAACCATTTTGGAATGAAAGTGACGGATAGGAATGGCCCTAAGTCCTTGACTGCAACCCCCTTCAGAAACAGAAGTTTGCAGGCTGTGCCCCAGGTCTGGTGAGGGGAGGGCAGCTTCCTCGCTTATCTCACCAGGTATTCTGGATAAAGCCTTCTTAATTGCCTGGGGTCAGGCCTGAAAAATCAATCATACATCAATCCTTAACCAGAAGCCGATTCTGCAATGCCTATATCCTCATCCAAACTCTGAATAGTTTTCCCAGTCTTTCCTGTTTCTTGAGCAAAAGCATTTGGGTTTTTTTTTTCCCCCCAAAACTTACCTTTCCATTTTTCTTCTATTTCCACTCCCTGGGGGCCAGCAAGTCCCACATCATCAGCTATGGCTCCAGGCCCACTGCCTCCAACCGAGCCTCTGCCTGGAGAACTTGGGTGCCTAAGAACATCACAGAGGAATTCTTGCTGTGCGCAGTAGCTGTTGAGCATGGCAGAACACAGAAGAGCTGATGCAGTTTTTATGGAGCATATTTGACTTTCTCACTTTTCATGTGATTTCAATCTTCCCCCACTTTTCCTCCCCACTTGTTTGTCCACCTCAATGCCTTCAGGGACCTGAAGTCCAACAATCATTCAACCCCTTGAGGGCTTCCAACTGTCTCACCCACCATCTTTTCACCATCCTTTCAACTCCCTTGCTCAAGTCTTCACTTCCCTATTTACTGATTTCATGGTCTCTAATCACTTCCTCTCTTAAAGTTCTGTCCCTGTCTGCATTTCTGTTGGCAAACTGGCCAATTCTCTCCTGAAGCTGTTTCTCATAGTAAATTATCAAATGGAAACAGCTGCCAGTATATGCTACTAACACTCTTTTCCAACTTTTCCTAAGGTCACACATTCAATGGTATGTTACCTACCTTCCAAGTTGTCAGGTGACCAAAGGTTCACTTCTTCACAAGATCAATCACCATCCTTCCATCCTTTGATAGCAGTTTCTTTGCCACCTGCTGCCAGTCCCTAATCCAGCGCCTCAAGTTTGTTTAGGTTTCTGTTCAATAGCATTTACTGCTGGTACCAACATGTATATCAGTTGGGATGGGTATTTCAGATGGCTTATGTCATGGCAACAAATGCCCAAAGTCTGTGCCTAAATGACCAGTTTGTTTTCTTCCTCATACTACACTACCTTCATTACTTTGTGAAGGGTTGAGGGAGAGGTTTAGAGGGGTGACTAAGTTAATTTTAGTCACTTAAGGATCTAGGCTAAGAGACCAGCCACCATCTTGAATACTGTTGGCTGTCAAGAGAGAAAAGATGGCACCAGAAGGTCTCAGACGGGTGATTATGTGTTCTAGCCACGACGTGGTAGTTCCAACCACAACTCACTCACTAGTGGTATAGAACCAGTCATATGAACCTTCTCAACCACAAAGGAGCCATATTGGTTGACAGTTTAAGAAATGAAAGCCTAAATACTATGATTATAAGCTATAATAGTATTTTTTTGTCTTAATATGGCATACGGTTTATGGTTTGCTGACAAGCTCATATGTGTTTTAAAATTTCTGTTCATACAGATGGATAATAACCAGCTTTGGCTAGTCAAATACAAGTTACTTGTTTACTCTGACACTGAAAGAAAAGGAAGATACTGCAAAACAGAATAAAGATCAAATTACAGATAGAGTTTTGGGGATCTACAGCACATGTGATAATTAAAGCCTGCAATAGATGAGTTTATCTATGTATAATTGTGGAGGAGAGAAGGACTTAGAACTGAGCTCTTAGGAGATCCACCATTTTGTGTTCTGATAGAGGAGAAGTACACAAAGGAGATTTACACAAAGCTTCTGGAACAATGTTGTGTCATGGAATCCAAAGGAAGACAGCATTTCAAGAAAGAGGAAGTGTCAGCTTTGCCAGATGCTGAGAAACCAAGGAAGATGACAGAAAGCACCTGATTAATTTGGCTTCATGGGCCACTGTTAGTGTTTGCAAGAACAGTGAAGTAGTCAGGGACAATCCATTTTAGAGAAGGTTGAAGATAAAAACAAGAAGTGAGGAAGTGAGTCAGTGAGAGCAAACTCTCCTAAAAATGTGATGAGGGGAAGAAATACAGTGAGAGGTGGAGGGACAGTTTTTGTTTTTTGACTTTGCATTGACAATGTAATCATTAATAGTGTGTCCCAGTGTGGTTGAAAGTCAGCCTTTATTCTGGAGTTGCAGTTATCATGCAGAGACTGTTCAGATCAATATTATTTGATGAATCTGTGTTCCTGCAAGAAGGCAGCTCCCAATGGCACCATGGTTCAATCAGAATGTGGCAGAAATTGCTATTTCCTCCAAATATCCATTTTCCCAGGCAGGTTAGAATTTTCAGCCAGGCACAGGGCCTCCCAAACTAAAGACAATTCCTTAGTCTCCCTTGTAATTACATATGATTAGGGGAATAAGTCCTAAACAATGCAAATAAGCAAGAGTATCCTGAAGCAGGGCTTCCCAGGTGGCTCAGTGGTAAAGAATCCCCCTGCTAACCAGAAGACGTGAGTTCGATCCCTGAGTTGAGAAGATCCCCTGGAGAAGGAAATGGCAACCCACTCCAGTATTCTTGCCTGGGAAATCTCATGGACAGAGGAGCCTGGCAGGCTACAGTCCATGGGGCTACAAAAGAGTAGGACACGACTTAGTGACTAAACAACAACAACAACGTCCTGTAGCAACTTCAGAGAACCTTCCTTAAGGAACAGCTTACAAGAGTCATTTGACCCACTATGTCACTTTCTTCTTCCTTGATGGTTGAAATATGGACACGATAGTTGGAGCTGAAGAGCCATCTTGGGCCATGAGGTGACCTTGGGAATAGAGGCTACAGTTGACAGAGTAAAAAGCTAGAAGGATCCAAAGTCTGTGTTGACTTCATAAAACAGAGTTCTATGGCAGCCCTAGACATCTGTGTCTGTTAATGTTACAAAATGTAACATTAATGCAAATTTTGTTAATGCAAAAGGAAAATAAGCATCTAGGTTAAGCCTCACATTTTGCAGGTTACTAATATCCTTGCTGTGTGCTGGGCTTAGTTGCTCAGTTGTGTCCAACTCTTTGCAACCACCTGGACTATAGCCTGCCAGGCTCCTCTGTCCATGGAATTCTCCAGGCAAGAATATTGGAGTGGGTTGCCACGCCCTCCTCCAGGGGATCTTCCCAACCCAGGGATCAAATCCAGGTCTGCTCCGGGCGGATTCTTTACCATCTGAGCCACCAGGGAAGCCCAAGAATACTGGAGTGGGTAGCCTATCCCTTCTCCAGGGGGTCTTCCCCACCCAGGAATCATCTCCTGCATTACAGGTGGATTCTTCACCAGCTGAGCTACCAGGGAAGCCCACTTAGTCAAATCTAAATCTAGTGAATATATACAAAGTCAGCAAGAAAAGTGCAGACTAATAAAATTGACAATCCATCCCTGAAATGAAAGCGGATTAAAGGATTTCTGGAGAGCACCGAGCAGGACTCGGCCGTCCAGCCCGGTCGTCCGTGCCAGGCGACAAAGAAAGGGTTTCCTGGTGGACCATCATCCCTTCCCTCTAGACAGCCCGCACCCCGGGGGCCTGAAAAATGCTTAGATCTACGTGGAATTTTCTGAAACGTCACAAAAAGAAATGCATCTTCCTGGGCACGGTCCTCGGAGGAGTATATATCCTGGGGAAATATGGACAGAAGAAAATCAGAGAAATACAAGAAAGGGAGGCTGCAGAATACATTGCCCAAGCGCGACGACAGTATCATTTTGAAAGTAACCAGAGGACTTGTAACATGACAGTGCTGTCCATGCTCCCAACACTGAGAGAGGCCTTGATGCAGCAACTCAACTCAGAGAGCCTTACAGCTCTGCTGAAAACCAGGCCTTCAAACAAGCTAGAAATATGGGAGGATCTGAAGATAATAAGTTTCACAAGAAGTATCGTAGCTGTATACAGTACTTGCATGCTGGTGGTTCTTTTGCGAGTCCAGTTAAACATCATCGGTGGATATATTTATTTGGATAATGCAGCAGTTGGCAAAAATGGCACCACAGTTCTTGCCCCCCCAGATGTCCAACAGCAATATTTATCAAGTATTCAGCACCTCCTTGGAGATGGCCTGACAGAATTGATCACTGTCATTAAACAGGCTGTGCAAAAGATTTTAGGAAGTGTTTCTCTTAAACATTCTTTGTCCCTTTTGGACTTGGAGCAAAAACTAAAAGAAATCAGAGATCTCGTTGAGCAGCATAAATCTTCTTTTTGGATTAATAACGATGGATCCAAATCTTTATTATGCCATTATATGATGCCAGATGAAGAAACTCCGTTAGCAGTTCAGGCCTGTGGACTTTCACCTAGAGATGTTACCACTATTAAATTACTCAATGAAACTAGAGACATGTTGGAAAGTCCAGATTTTAGTACAGTTTTGAATACCTGTCTGAACCGCGGGTTCAGTAGACTGCTAGACAACATGGCGGAGTTCTTTCGACCTACTGAACAAGACCTGCAGCGTGGTAGCTCCATGAACAGTCTTTCTAGTGTCAGCCTGCCTTTAGCTAAGATAATTCCCATAATAAATGGACAGATCCATTCAGTTTGCAGTGAAACGCCTAGTCATTTTGTTCAGGATCTGTTAATGATGGAGCAAGTGAAAGACTTTGCTGCTAATGTGTACGAGGCTTTTAGTACTCCTCAACAACTGGAGAAATGATTGGTTTTTTCCTTCAAGAATAGCTACAATGGGATTCAGCTACTTTTTTTAAAAAATGCACTGAATAAATCAACTATATATAGGGTAATGATTTGTTACCATAATGTCTAATAAAAATATATTCTTAATCAAAGTCTTCATAATAAAATAGATTTATTTGGCATCTTAATATATTTTTTTAAAGCCATCAACAGACTGGTTTTTGTGGGCATATCTGAGTATATACAGTGCAAATATCAGAATTGTTAATAGTTTGTTACATCACGGATATTAGTTCCAAGTCAGATAATGTAAATACTTTATTCTTTGACATTCATACTGAGGTAAAATCTGTTCGGGAAGTAGATATAAAGTTTGGAAAAAATGCTGTTTAAAGTTCACTGGACTTAAAGTTCACTGAATTGCAGCATACAGGAGAGAATCAGACTTTTCTCCAGTTAATCTTCAAAGGGATAAATACTTTGTCTTAAATATACCTGGTTGAGAACTTTCTTTTTTAATAGAAATCAGTTAATTTAACAACTAGGATTAGGACTTCCCTGGTGGTCTAGTGGTTAAGGCTCCATGCTCCCCTGCAGGGGGCACGGGTTCAGTCCCTGTTCCCTGGTCAGGGAATCTACAATCCTGCATGCCATAACATGGCCAAAAATAAGAAGGAACAACCATGATCAGCAATTTTTTTCTTTACTGTTGTTAACAATCATTAGGAAACTACATACTGATTTAGAGGTGAACATTGTGTTGATGCTGTTTACTCAGCTATTATTAACTACTGTACATAGTTTCATTTATTTCTATGTAAATAATTATAAGTTACTTTGTATTGCTTTTGAGCACAGTGAATCTTATTACAATAAAATATTTTAGTAAAAAAAAAAGAAAGCGGATTAAAGTCACTGGAGAAAATTCTATTTAGGAAAAATAATAGTGTTAATTTCAGACCACGGATACTGGTCAGGAGTCCTTGGTATTAAGAAGGAAATTAAGAATATAAGTTTCCCATTTGCAGCAACATGGATGGACCTGGAGAGCATTATGCTAAAGTGAAATAAGTCAGATAGAGAAAGACAAATACTGTATGATATCATCTATATGTGGAACTTAAAATATACACGAACTAGTGAATACTACAAAAAAGAAGTAGACTCATATATAGAGAGAACAAACTAGTAGTTACTAGTAGGGAAGAACTTAGGTATGGGAGAGTGAAAGGCACAAACTATTAGATGTAAGATAGGCTACAGGATGTATTGAATAACACAAGGAATAAAGCCAGTATTTTGAAATAACTATAAATGGAGAGTAACAATTTTTTCTAAAAAAAAAAATTACAATTTTTAAGTAAATAAATTTTAAAAATTAAAAATAATATGTAAAAATAAACTCAAAGTCGATTAAAGATCTAAATGTAAGACCAGATACTATAAAACTCCTAGAGGAAAACATAGGCAGAACAATCTTTGACACAAATTGCAGCAAATTTTTTGCATCCATCTCTTAAAGTAATAGAAATAAAAGCAAAGATAAACAAATGGGACCTAATTAAACTTCAAAGCTTTTGTACCAAAAAGGAAACTATAAAAAACAAAAAGACAACCTGTGGAATGGGAGAAAATATTTGCAACCAATGTGACTGATAAGGGATTAATTTCTCAAATATACAAAGTTCGTACATCTCAATATCCAAAAAACAAACAATCCAATTAAAACACAGGCAGAAGACCAAAAAAATAAATAAATAGAACATAGGCAGGAGACCTTAATAGACATTTCTCCAAAGGCGGCATACAGATGACCAACAGGCACATGAAAAGATGCTCAACATCACTATTAGAGAAATGCGAATCAAAACTACAATGAGGTACTACTTCATATCAGTCAGAATGACCATCATTAAAAGTCTACAAATAACAAATGCAGGAGAGGATGTGGAGAAAATAGAGCCCTCCTATCCTGTTGACTGGAATGTAAATTGGTGAAGCCACTATAGAAAACAGTATTGAGCTTCCTTAAGACTCTCAAAATAGAACTACTATATGAACCAGCAATCTCATTCCTGGGCATATGTCTGGAAAAGACAAAAACACTAATTCAAAGAGATACATACATCCTGATGTTTATACAAGTACTATTTATAATAGTCAAGATATGGAAGCAACCTAAATGACTGTCAACAGATGAATGGATAAAGACGATGTAGTATATATATACAATAGGATATGGCTCAGCCATTAAAAAGAATGAAATACTGTCATTTGCAGCAACATGGATGGACCCAGAGATTTTCATACTGAGTCATTCAAAGTCAAATATCATATGATATCATTTATATGTGGACTCTAAAAATGATACAAATGAACTTATTTACAAAACAGAAATTGACTCACAGACATGGAAAACAAATTTATGGTTACCAACAGGGAAAGGAGAGAGGATAAATAAAAAAGAAAATGAGAAGGAAATGGGAAATGACCATAATAGGAAGAAAATGTCACATGAGGAGATGTGGTCTGATATTATCCAGTTTTCCAAATTTACTGGCATATTGAGTGCAGCACTTTCACAGCATCATCTTTTAGGATTTGAAATAGCTCAACTGGAATTCCATCATCTCCACTAGCTTTGTTCATAGTGATGCTTCCTAAGGCCCACTTGACTTTGCATTCCAGGATGTCTGCCTCTAGGTGAGTGATCATACCATCGTGATTATCTGGGTCATGAAGATATTTTTTGTACAGTTCTTCTGTGTATTCTTGCCACCTCTTCTTAATATCTTCTGCTTCTGTTAGGTCCATATGATTTCTGTCCTTTATTGAGCCCATCTTTGCATGACATTTTCCCTTGGTATCTCTAATTTTCTTGAAGAGATCTCTAGTCTTTCCCATTCTATTGTTTTCCTCTATTTCTTTGCATTGCTCACTGAGGAAGGCTTTCTTATCTCTCCTTGCTATTCTTTGGAACTCTGCATTCAAATGGGTATGTCTTTCCTTTTCTCCTTTGCTTTTGGCTTCTCTTCTTTTCAGAGCTATTTGTAAGGCCTCTGCAGACAGCCATTTTGCTTTTTTGCATTTCTTTTTCTTGGAGATGATCTTGCTCCCTGGCTCCTGTACAATGTCATGAACTTCCATCCATAGTTCATAAGCACTCTGTCTAATACATCTAGTCCCTTAAATCTATTTCTCACTTCCACTGTATAATCATAAGGTATTTGATTGAGGTCCTATCTGAATGGTCTAGTGGTTTTCCCTACTTTTTTGAATTTAAGTCTCAATTCAGCAATAAGGACTTCATGATCTGAGCCACAGTCAGCTCCCGGTTTTGTTCTTGCTGACTGTATAGAGTTTCTCCATCTGTGGCTGCAAAGAATATAATCAATCTGATTTCGGTGTTGACCATCTGGTGATGTCCATGTGTAGAGTCTTCTCTCGTGTAGTTGGAAGAGGGTGTTTGCTATGACCAGTACATTCTTTTGGCAGAACTCTATTAGCCTTTGCCCTGCTTCATTCTGTACTTGAAGGTCAAATTTGCCTGTTACTCCAGGTGTTTCTTGACTTCCTACTTTTGCATTCCAGTCTCCTATAATTAAAAGGATATCCTTTTTAGGTATTAGTTCTAGAAGGTCTTGTAGGTCTTAATAGAACTGTTCAACTTCAGCTTCTTCAGCATCACTGGTTGGGGCATAGACTTGGATTACTGTGATACTGAATGGTTTGCCTTGGAGACGAAGAGAGATCATTGTGTCATTTTTGAGATTGCACCCAAGTACTGCGTTTCTGACTCTGTTGACTATGATAGCCACTCCATTTTTTCTAAGGGATTCTTGCCCACAGTAGTAGACAGAATGGTCATCTGAGTTAAATTCACCCATTCCAGTCCATCCTAGTTCATTGATTCCTAAAATGTCAACATTCACTCTTGCCATCTCCTCTTTGATCACTTCCAATTTGCCTTGACTCATGGACCTAACATTCCAGGTTCCTATGTAATGTTGCTCTTTACAGCATTGGACCTTGCTTCCATCACCAGTCACATCACAAAAACATGTTGTTTTTGCTTTGGCTCCATCCCTTCATTCTTTCTGGAGTTACTTCTCCACTGATCTCCAGTAGCATATTGGGCACCTACCGACCTGGGGAGTTCATCTTTCACTGTCCTATCTTCTTGCCTTTTCATACGGTTCATGGGATTCTCAAAGCAGGAATACTGAAGTAGTTTGCTATTCCCTTCTCCAGTGGACCACATTTTGTCAGAACTCTCCACCATGACCCGTCCATTTTAGGTGGCCCTACACAGCATGGCTCATAGTTTCATTGAGTTAGACAAGGCTGTGGTCCATGTTATTAGATTGGTTAGTTTTCTGTGATGGTGGTTTTCAGTCTGTCTGCCCTCTGATGGAGAAGTGTAAGAGGCTTATGAAAGCTTCCTGATGGGATAGACTGACTGAGAGGGATACTGGGTCTTGTTCTGATGGATGGGGCCATGTTCAGTAAATATTTAATCCAATTTTCTGTTGATGGGCGGAGGTATGTTCCCTCCCTGCTGTTTACCTGGGGCCAAACTATGATGGAGGTAATGAAGATAATGGTTCAGTTCAGTTCAGTTCAATCGCTCAGTCGTGTCCGACTCTTTGTGACCCCATGAACCGCAGCACACCAGGCCTCCCTGTCCATCACAGGGAGTCTACTCAAACTCATGCCCATTGAGTCGGTGATACCATCCAGCCATCTCATCCTCTGTTGTCCCATTCTCCTCCTGCCCCCAATCCCTCCCAGCATTAGGGTCTTTTCCAGTGAGTCAACTCTTGGCATGAGGTGGCCAAAGTATTGGAGTTTCAGCTTCAGCATCAGTCTTTCCAATGAACACCCAGGACTTATCTCCTTCAGGATGGACTGGTTGGATCTCCTTGCAGTCCATGGGACTCTCAAGAGTCTTCTCCAACACCACAGTTCAAAAGCATCAATTTTTCAGTGCTCAGCTTTCTTCACAGTCCAGCTCTCACA